GGTCAACGATAAATTTGACGTCATATCGTATCATGTCAGATCTCATACTACTCTTTTCTGTGCGAAAAAATGCGGTGCTGGACTTTTCAGACGATGGAAGTAATGAAAAAAGGAGTCGAGCTCAATTTCCAGTATCACTTGGTCGATGGTTTGGTTGACTCGTCGTATGCAGCGTATACGGCGTCTAAAATGGGTGTAGCACAAGACGTTGTGGACCGCGCAAACAAGGTTGGAGACACATTTAAATTTACAATTTTGTCATTTTCGATTAGATCTATGAGTTTATCCGTGGGGGTCACGCTTTGTCCGACATGACTAGCCTGGATACTGGTGAAGATGTCAGGAATCAGTGGTTGTTGGATGCAATGGTGGAGCTACAGTAAGATTTATTCCACTGTATGTCTTCTTTGCTTATTGCATCAGTGCTAAGCTGACGGTGAAGTATGTCATTACCGCATCAATTCACCTTAATCTTTCAGTGCACGTTTCTGAAAGACACTTTTCCGTTCTAGGCCTCAGTTTGAAGAATGGGACATACGTGCAGATGTGGACAGCTTGCTAGAAATGCTTGAAAAGTACATTTTTGAAGCAGATGAAAAAATTCAGCAGGACATGTCTCAGGAAAGCGACTCCACAAGCGATGTTGGTGAAATGAAATGCTTTGGACTTCGAGCGCATACACCTTGCCCACCTTTCAGGGACAGCGTATGGAAAATGAGGTAGCTAGAGCTACAGAGGATGATGAAGAAGGTGATGCAGACAGTCAACTGGACAAGGAAGAAGTGGAACAATCAACAGTTTCTGAAGATGAGAACATCAAATCGCACCAAGATGCAGACGGCACCATTCCTGACATGCCTCCCAGTGCAATGTGCAATAAAAGTAAAAGTAAGGACAAAAGGTAAGATTGAGCGGTTTTCTCGCGACGAGTTTAACAATATTCTCTTTTCTTCAGTAATCTCTCCGTCTCTTTCGCTTTGGATATGGTTGAAACTGGAGCAGCAGCGGCTCCAACAACCGTGGCTTCGGACTCGGAAAATGTGGAGGATATAAAGCGGTAATAGAACATGTAGTGCCTTGAGTGTTATTGTACTCGTAAATGTAATTGAGGAATCAGGGATAATCCAAAGCCCTGCAGTAGTGCGTAAGAAAGTATATACGGAGTGTCCTTTTATAGAACTGGTTCCTACTTAGATTTAGAGTATAGAACGAATCTCTAACCCTTTCACTGTAGCACTGTGAACGTCACTGTGAAAGACCGATCGATAATCGATCAGCATACAGAGTTAAGGCGCGAAAACGATAACATGAATGTGCTCATTTGAGCTGCCGGAAACATCGAGAGAGGCCTCCCCTTACTCAGTAACGAAACTGTTTGCAGAAATAATGCTCTCGTGATCACACCATAAGGCTAACGCCCCTTTGCCTCACATTTTTGTATTTACGTGGACTCCACCCCTCTCTATCTTGTGCCCCTGCCATTGAAGTCCATGACCTACGATTCCATGATATTTTTTTTGGAAAGAAAGAAATAGAAAGATGTGGAATGAGGGGGTTAGCCATGTCTTCCTAGAATTTCTCTAACTTTGACTTCTTCGGTTGCTATATCCGAACTTCTTCAAGGAAAGCCTACTGAGGCGCCGTGCTTTTTCAAATTCAAAAATCATTCTAGTCATTCAAAAATAAAAAGTCATCGCACGATTTCAACATCTGTAGATCACTTTCGATATTTCCGCCACCCACCCATTCTCGAGGTTTCATCGGTCTGCTGTTAGCAGAAACATTTATCCAAACTCGCAAGCGAAGGCAAGATTTTTCCGAAGATAGCGAAGAAATGGAAATGCCAATTTTGTGAAGCAATGGCGGTCGCGCAAAATTTTCATGGAAGGAGCGCGGCGGAAACGCTCTATCAGAGTGCATCCCTTGTGTATATTGTTGCCCTGGCAATATTTCAATATCCTGAAAGGTGATGCCAAATTTGCTGCGATTGATAGGGGAGACGGCACAAATTAGATGTATTAATCATATTGAATTGCTACCTTTGAAGAGACCTGAAATTGAATTTCAGGATAGTTATTGCGGATTCTGATGATGAAACAACTGAAACAGATGATGAAGAAA